AGGCGTTCGAGCGTCCAAGATGGCCCAAGATTGCTCCAAGAGGGCTTCGAAGTCGCAAGATGGCCTCCAAGATGGCCCATGCTACTTTACGATGGGCCAAGATAGCCTCCGACATACCCCCAAGAGGCCCCAATACAGCCCCAAGACGGATCCAACTGCCCTTCGAGCCCTCCACGGCCGCCTCCAAGATGCCAAAACCGTTCAGAAGCAGAGGGAAATCCATGTTTTTGGCATTCTCGCTTTTTCGCTTCCGATGGGCTTTGGAAGCCTCACGATGGTCCCAAGATGGCCGAAAAGAGGCCCAAGAGGGGCCTAAAAAGGCCGAAGGCGGCCCCCAAATCGCCCAGGAGGCGCCCAAGAGCGTTCCAAGAGGGCCCCAAGATGCCGTTTGAGAGCCTCCGAGGGGGGGGCGCATTGCTTCCTCCCCTCTTTTTGAACCATGGTGCCCAAGACGGCCCCAAAAGGCCTCCCAGACCCCCCAAAGAGCCCCAAGAGGGTTCCAAGACTCCCCCAAAAGATCCTCAAAAGGGCCCCAAGAAGGCCTCAAGAGGACCCCCAGAGGGCCCCACGATGGCGCCAAAATGGCATTACGAGTCTTCGAAGAACTTCTCACCACAACGTATCCTCAAAGCTCGACTTCCGACAGCCTCTAGCCGAGCATGGCTCAAGATAGCCTCAGAGAGGCCTCAAGAACACTTGAAACCACTTATGGATGGGCTGGTGGGACATTTTTTTTGGTCGCGGCCGCGCAGCAGAGGGCAGGCGGCGAGAGGGGGTCCGGGGCACGGGCCAGCCGAATTAGCTACTAAGCGACACGCAAACCGGCCGGGCCAGCACTCAGAAGCGGTGGCAGAGGTGCAGCAGCGGCTGGTGGAACTGGATGGCTGGTCTGCAACGCCCAGGGAAGCTGATGCATCTTGCATGCCTAAGGCAGAGGTGCCAGAGGTAGAATTAGGAACTGCACGCCAAAGACGCCTGTCCCGCACTGTGCAAGTGGCCATGCCGCGAACTGGTGGGACTGGTGGGGATACGCGAAGCGTCAAGAATTTACTCAGGACCTCCCCCGTCTGAGATTTCCTCCAAATTTACTCAGGAACAGCGCTCCCGCTTGAGACCTCCTCACAATTTAATCTGGGTCAAACTGCGTTGTTGCTCCCCCGGACTACAACAACAACGGTTCCCGCCAGAGACTTTCTCACAATTTATTGAAGAATCGCGCTCTTGTTTTGGATTTCTTGGCAATTTGCAACCAAACCTCGGCTCCCGCCTGAAACCTCCTGACAATGTATTGTAGGACCGTATTGTAGAATCGCCTTCTTGCATGGGACTTCCTCGCAACTTACCACCGAACCGCTTCGCTTGATATGTCCTCGCAGTTTATCCGGATGCCGATCCTAGGTACTCAGGAATCGCGCCCCAACTACATATTGCCTCGCGGCTCGAGCAGGACTCACTCTTCAACGACCAGCCCGCTCGAGCAGCCCGTCGGGGCCTGCCCGCCCGACCAACCCGTTAATGACTGCAATCGCCGCTCGCTGCCCTTCGCCCGCCTTCGATGCCCCTCGCTGCCCGTGCTGGTTCCGCGGTCGCCTTCGCTCACTGCCCTTCGTGGCCCCGTTGCTGCCCTCAGTGGCCCCGTCGCTGCCCTTTGTGGCCCCACATTATATGCCCTTCGTGGCCCCCGCTCGCACGCTCCCGTCGTGGCCCCATACGCATGCCCTTCGTAACCCCGCTGTCGCCCTTCCTGGCCCCCTCGGTGCCCTTCGTGGCCCCTTTGCTGCCCTCAGTGGCCCCGCTGTCGCCCTTTGTGGCCCCGTAAACGAATGCCCTTCGTGGCCCCCGCTCGCTCCCGTCGTGGCCCCATACGCATGCCCTTCGTGGCCCCGCTGTCGCCCTTTGTGGCCCCCTCGCTGCCCTTCGTGGCCCCGGTGCTGCCCTCAGCGGCCCCGTCGCTGCCCACTGTGGCCTTGGATTTTATGTCCTTGGTCGCCCACGCTGGCTTTTCTCACGATTTACTTGGGAATCGCGCTATCGCTCGAGACTTCCTCGCGACTCATGCAGGACCCACGCTTCAGCAACCCGCCTGCTCGACCTCGTCGCTTGGGCCCGCCTTCCCGACCTGCCCGCTATGGGTCTGCCCACCCGATCCGCCCGTTTGGTTCTACCACTTGTTATTTCTGCTCCTTGCCCCCCTCCTGCTAATTTGTCTCGTGCTCCATTCTCCTCGCTCCCCCTTTCACCCGTCGTCTCTTCCCTTGTTTAAGGGGCTGAATGAAATACACGTGGCAGGTAAGGAAGATCTACCCCGAAGGGGGTACGATCGAAGACGACGAGGGAGGGTACCGAGGGTTTGGGATATACGTATGGATTGGCACGTGAGCAGCTAGGAGCGAACATTATTAAAATGGTTGTTGTTGTTGCGGTTGTTGAATGTTAATTACTAAGCAGTTATTATTGTTGGACCCCTTAAAGGCGCCCTGGCGCTCTCGCCGAGGCGCCGGCTACATGTTCATGAAAAGAAGGCTCACGCTCGAGCAGTTTGGGGGACCGCCAAAACCCAACAACAACAACAACGCTCCCGCTCGAGACTTCCTCCGTTTATACTGAAGGCTGGTGTTCTTGCTCGCCGCCGAAAGCCACCGTCCTAACAAAACCAGCGTTCCCGCTCGAGACTTCCCCTCGTTTTACCTTGGACTGGCGCGCTAGTTGTTCTCTCATCGGCGCCACCCCCAGCAAAAACAACGATCCCGCTCGATGTTTCCTCCTTTTTTACTCAAGGCGGTGCTGTTACTCGCCGCCGAAAACCGCCGGCCCGACAAAACCAGCGCTCCCACCCGAGACTTCCTTCCGTTTTACGCTGGACTGGCGCCCTACTTTCTTTTTAGTTGGCGCCGCTCCCAGCAAGAACAACGCTCCCGCTCGAGGCTGCCTCCCTTTTTCCTGAAGACGGTGCTTTCCTCGCCGCCGACAACCCCCGTCCCGACAAAACCAAAGCTCCTGCTGGATGCTTCCTCCCTTCTTGCTCAAGGCGGTGTTCCTCCTCGCCGCTGGAAGCCGCCGCCCCGACAAAACCAGCGCTCCCGCCCGAGACTTCCTCCCGTTTTACGCTGGACTGGCGCCCTACTCTCTTTTGAATTGGCGCCGCTCCCAGCAAGAACAAAGCTCCCGCTCGAGATATTCTCTCTTTTTCATCGGGACGGTGCTGTTCCTCGCCGCCGACAGCCCCTGTCCCGACAAAACCACGGCTCCCGCCGATGCTTCCCCATTTCTTACTCAAGGCGGTGTTCCTCCTCGCCGCCGAAAGCCGCCGTCCCAACAAAACCAGCGTTCCCGCTCGAGACTTCGTCTTGTTTTACGCTGGACTCGCGCCCTACTCTCTTCAGCATTGGCGCCGCTCCCAGCAACATCAGCAGCCCTGCTCGAGACTTCCCCCCTTTCTATTCAGGGCAGGCCCTTGCCTCACCGCCGACAGCCCCCATCTCCTCCAAGGCAATCCTGTCGTTCGATACTTCCTTGTGCTTTACCCTTCGCTGGGGTTCCACTGGCGGTCTCGCATCGGCGCAGCAAGGCGCGGGCACGTGTTTTCGAGGCGGGATAAATTGAAATTCCTCGGGGAAGGTGTTTGCAAGACCTCATTGAGCGGGAGATCTGGGAATCGGAATAACGGACCCCGCTATAGAACAAGAGTCCCCCATGATGTGGATGGTTATCATGATGGTCACATGCTTCGTGTGTGAACATCGCGAATGAGGGTAAACTGTTTATTGGTGTTGTTGTTGTCGTCGTTGTTGTTGTTATTGTTGTTATTGTTTTGTTGCAGTTGCATGTTAATTACGAAACAACTATTATTGTTGGACCCCCTCCAGGCGCTTTGGCGCTCTCGCCGAGGCGCCGGCTACATTTTCACTGAAAATGAAGGTCACGCTCAAGCGGTGTGGAGTTGCACCAAAACTGGCCTCCCAACAACAACAACAACAACAACAACAACAACAACAACAACAACAACAACAACAACAACAACAACAACAACAACAACAACAACGCTCCCGCTCGAGACTTCCTCCTTTTGTACTCAGGGCCGGTGCTCTTGCTCGCCGCCGAAAGCCGGCGTCCCAATAAAACCAGCGCTACCGTTCGAGACTTCCTCACGTTTCTACCTTGGACTGGCGCGCTATCTTTTCTCTCATCGGCGCCACCCCCAGCAACAACAACGCTCCCGCTCGAGCGTTCCTCCCTTTTCTACTCAAGGCGGTGCTGTTCCTCGCCGCCGACAGCCCCCGTCCCGACAAAACCACGGCTCCCGCTCGAGACTTCCTCCCTTCTTACTCAAGGCGGTGATTTTATTTCCTGCTGTGGGCAAGACCTGAGAACCCTGCTCCTGTGAGGACTGAACGCGGGTTACAGCCAGATGGGCAGATTTGCATCTAGCTAGAGCTGTTGCATGCGTGGTGTGGCATTGCGACCAGTAGCAACATATAAGTTAAGAAACTACACCCTGGCGGCAAACTACCCTATAGAACCTACATGAACAATACATCACACATCAATATACTGTGCTGTACATGTGGGAGGAACAACGGAAAAGCCATATGCGATCAGAAACTGTGTATCGCACGGAAATGACAAAGGATGCCGCATCTTCGGGAGACAATGCGGAAGACCACATCTACGGGAGACCGTGCAGGATATCCTACGGGAGACCCTTACACACATGCATTTTTAGGAGACCATGCAGGATACCAGATGGGAAAACCACGGGCCAAGGGCCACCAAGTCCAGATCAGGATTCGCTCGCACGGGACCTTCTACAATGTAACAGGACCCTTGCAGACGAGCTGTTCAGGGAATCTTGCTAGAAGAAGCCTTGCCCCGAGTGTTTACGGGCGCGTTCGAAAACAATAATTCTATCGGGGGGCGCCTGTTGCTTGTTGGCAAGCCACTTTCTTTTTAAGGTTCGCCTACTGCACAGGAGCACTTACGAAAGTTGTTATACCTGCTGCCTGTAAGCGCCAGCGCCTCGTTGAAGGCCCCCCCCGTGCGCGGTGCGCCGCCCTGAGCCACGGCGCCACTGGGAGCGACTGTGGCGATCTGGGACACGGCGTAGTCAGCGACAGAGCGCAGCGTCGGGTAGTCGAAGATGAGCGTGTTGGGCAACTGCAAATCGGGCAGCTCACCGGACAGCCTGTTACGGAACTCGACCGCGGACAGCGAGTCCATGCCCGACTCCATGAGTGGCACGTCGTCCTCGACTGTGCTGCCCGTCGTCTCCCCAGCGATCCGACGCATCAACTGGTTCACCTCGTCGGGGCTGGGTCCTGTCGCCACTGGCGCAGCTGCGAAGCCAGCGCCGACGGCCTGCGCACCTGCTGGGGCGATCTGGCTGGAGGCAAACTGAGCGATGGCTTTGACGCTCGGGTAGTCGAATATGAGAGTGTTGGGCAACTGCACCTGGGGCATCTCGCTGGAGAAACGGTTGCGGAACTCCACCGCAGAAAGCGAGTCCATGCCAGACTCCATCAGCGGGGTGTCCTCCTCGATCTGGCTCTGGCCCGCCACCTCCGACGCGATCTTCTGCAGCATGACGCGCAAGCTCTGCTCGCTGACGGCCGGGGCGGCCGCCGCCTGGGCAAATCTTGGCGCCGCGGCCATCGCTGACGCGGCTGGCTTCTTCTTCTCGACCTTCAGCTCGGCCCCAAAGCGAGACAGGAAGGCTGGGACCTTCGAGCTCGCATATGGCTTCAGGTACAAAGACCAACGCATGGGCTGCGCAACGATGGTGGCGTTGGAAGCCTTCAGCGCACAGGCCAGCGCGGCCATGCCGTTCGCGTTAGTGAGTCCGTAGACGCCCGACTTCTGGAGGCGGTCGATGGTGCTGCCCTGCGTGGCCATGCCCACTTCCTTCCAGGGGCCCCATTGTACGCTCCACGTGTTCTCGCCCTCCTGCTTCCAGTACCTGGCGTGCGCGTCAAGCGCGGAATTCGATGCCGAGTAGTTGGCCTGGCCTGGAGACCCGAGAAGTGCAGAAGTGGAGGAGAACATCAGCATGAACTGCAGCGGTCCCGACGCGGGGGCCAGCTCGCAGTGCATATGCCTCGCGCCCCAGACCTTGGCGCCATACGACTTCTCCAGGTGGGCGCGCGTCAGCTTCGGCAGCGTGGCGTCGTCAAGCACAGCGGCCAGGTGCACAACACCGCCAGCTGCAGTTGCCGGCGACCGCTTGGCCCCGTCGGCGGCCATGGCCGCGGCTAGCTCCCGAACGGCGTCCATGCTCGAGATGTCGCACGCCCTCGACAGCACCGTGGCGCTGGTCGACTGCAGGCGCTCCCAGATATCCGCCACGTCCGCGGCTGGCCTTCCGCTCCTGGACAAGAGGCTCAGGACCTTGCCGCCCTCCTCGATCATATACTGTGCAGTGACCATTCCGAGGGCACCCATGCCGCCGCTTAGGATGTACTCTGTGGACGGCATCAGCCCCATGGTGCTCGGGGTGCTGATGACCACCTTGCCGATGTTCTGGGCGCGCTGCAGGAACTGCGCCGCCTTCACACCGCTCTCCATGCCCTCGAACACATGCATGTTGATCGGCTTCAGTCCACCCGCCTCCACGCGCCCGAGCAATCGCTTCAGGTATCCGTTGTACTCCCACTCGGAGAGGTCCATCATAGTGTCGGTCACGATCTTCTCATAGATCACGTCGGGTCGCTCCCCGAACATCTTCGCGTGGCTCCAGATTCCTCGCTTGCCGATCTCCATGAAGCGGCCGCCCTTCTTGAGCAGTGCCAGGGACCGGGGGATGTAGTCGTCGTGGCTGAGGCTGTTGAGGACGACGTCGATGCCCTCAATCTTCATCTCCTTCAAGAACTGCTTGCTGTCTTCCTCAAACTTCGAGCCGTCCCGGCTGCTGGTGGTGTACTTGACGCCGAGGCTGTGGAGGTAGTCGTGCTTCTCCTTGGCACCTGCGGTGGCAATGATCTTGGCGCCCACGTACTGGGCGTACTGGATCGCAACGAGGCCCACGCCGCCAGCGGCGGCGTGGATGAGGACGCAGTCGCCCTTGCCGAGCCGCGCCAAGTCCCCCAGCGCCTCCTCCACGGTGCCGAAGATGACTGGCATGCAGCACGACTCCTCGAAAGTCCACTGTGGCGACTTCTGCGTGAGCAGCGACGCCTTGCTGCAATTGTAGGTCTTGAGGCACCCCGGGCTCTCGCCGAACACGTCGTCGCCGGGAACGATGTGCTTCACGTCCGCGCCTACCGTCAGCACTGTGCCCGCGCAGTCGGCGCCTGGCGGCCCTGGGTCTCCTGGGTACAGGCCCATGACGTTGAGGACGTCGCGGAAGTTGAGGCCGACCGCGCGGATGCGCACCTCGGCCTCGTGGGCGGCCGGCTTGTCGCGACTGTCCTGGACCACCGGCCTCAAATTCGACAAGCTTCCCCGGGCGGACATCGCCAGCATGCCGGGCTTCGTGAGCACCGTCGCGCTGCGCGTGAGCCTGGACACGAACGCCAGCTCTTTTCCGTCCTGCAGGCGTACTGCCACCTCGCTCTCCGAGGCCACGTCCCCAGAACCGCCCAGCCTGCCCAGCCAGCTGTGCAGCGCCTCTGCCACGACCTCTGCGCCGCAGTGCGCGCTGCCGTCCAGGTCCAAGCAGCGGAGGACCACAGAGCGCTCCTCCATGCGGAAGGTACGCGCCATCCCCCACAGGCCTGCGTGCATGTAGCCGCCGAGCGGCGCGGTCTGCGTGCCGCAGGTGATCCACCACATCGTCCCCGGCTTCTTCTTGGCGATGGCCTGCTGCGCGAGACCCATTGCGTCGTCCAGGGTCTGCATTTCCGACTCCGCGCCGAGCGCTCCGACGTACACGGCAAACGCGCACTTGTCCTTCTCGAAGTCTGGCGAGTCCGAGAAGGCAGACTGCGGGAACTTGGCCGCGAGCGCCTGCTGCAGGTCCGCATCGGCGCCCACGAACATCACCTTGCCGAGGTCTTTTGTGGCGCTCGAGCTCTTCACGTCCATGGTGGACCACTCGACCTCCAGGATGTCTTCGTCCGCGTCTCCAGCCGACGCCGCGAGCATCTTCGCGATGTGCTCGGGGCGCACCTCGCGCAGGCGCATGCGGTCCATGGTCATGATGATCACCTCGTCGTCTTTGGCGAGTACCACGTTGGACTCCAGCTGCTTGTCGGAGTTCTCGAGTAGCGTGTGGTGCACCCACACCTTCTGGCTGTAGCCCTGGCCGTAGATGGTCAGGCGGTCGATGGACAACGGGATTCTCAGGCTCGGCAACGCCTCCAAATTCTGGAATGCGCAGCTGGCCTGGAACGAGCCGTCTATGACGGCGGGGCCGAACAGCATGCCCTGGTTCGTACCGTCCTCGTAAGCGGCCACCCAGGCGATGATCTCGTCTCCGCTGCGGTCGATCGTGCGTACAGTGCGGAAGCGCGGCTGCAGAGGCAGGCCGATGTTCGCGAACGGCACATACATGCGGGAGTCCTCGACGACCTCCGGGCAACGGGCCTTGATCTCTGCCACATTCATCGTGTTATGCTCGGCCAGCCCACCGTGCAGGTGCAAGGAGCCCTCGCAGTGTGTGGCCATGATCTCGCCACCGTAGCCGCTGTTCATCGAGAAGCGCCCGTCGTCGCGCACATGGAGCATCAAATCCTTGGGCTCGGTCAGCTCGCCGTCTACCTCCCGCAGGACTAATGGGCTCTGGAAGCCGATGCCCTCGAGCCAGAATTTGCCGCCATCGCGTCCGTAGCGGTACGCAGCGGTGGCGATGGTCATTTCCATGTAGGTTGCTCCTGGTACCACGATCTCTCCGTAGATGATGTGGTGCGACAGCAGCTCCACCAACTTGTTCTGGATCGGCGCGTGGAAACACGTCAGTCCGGGCTGGTCCCCTGGGCGCCCAGCGACCGACAGCGGGTGCTTGACTTGATACCATGCGAAGCGCTGCCGATTGAAAACAGCGGGCTCCGTCTCCTTGGGGTCGACCTGAGCCTCCCCAGCCGCTGCAGCCATGGAGACGTGGGTGTTGGTGCCACCGAAGCCGAACGACGACAGGCCAGCGCTCTTGACCTCCTTGTCCACGACACCGTCGGCGGGGAATGTGACCCTGAAGTCGGAGACGTCGATGTGCGGGTTGAGGCTGTGCAAATGGATGTTCGGTGGCACCTTGCCGAGACTGAGCACGGAGATGCTCTTCACGAGGCCAGCGATGCCAGCCGCGCCCTCCAAGTGGGCAACGTTCGACTTGACCGCGCCGACGAGGATCTCTGAGCTACGCCCGGGCCCCATGACAGCGCTGAGGGCCCCCACCTCAATGGGGTCGCCCAGCTCGGTGCCGGTCCCGTGCGTCTCCACGTAGTCGGCCCCCGAGGGGACGACTGGGGAGTCCTTCCAAGCCATGAGGATGACCTCCTGCTGCGCGGGACCGTTCGGCGCTGTCAGGCTAGAGCTTTTGCCGTCCTGGTTGACGCCAGTGCCGCTGACCGCCGGCAGAACCGTCTGCAGCGTGGTCTCCGGCTGGCGCCGGACGACGACAGCGCCGCAACCCTCGGCGCGCGAATAGCCGTTGGCCGACTGGTCGAACGTCTTACAACGACCCTCCTCCGAGAGCATCCGCGCCTGGCAGCACGCGATGAACGGGCCCGGCAAGAGGGCCAAGTTCACGCCAGCCGCAACGGCGCTGCTGCAACGCACGCGCCACAAGCCTGACACAGCCTGGTCGAGCGCCACCAGCGACGAGGAGCACGCCGTGTCCGAAGCGACGCTGGGGCCTTTGAATCCGAAGACGTAAGAGATGCGATTGGCCGAGATGGAGACGGAGCCTCCTGTGCCGCTGAACGGGTTCATCTTGTCGGTCTCCAGGTTCTTGAAGTGGCCCCAATCGTTGTTGCACTCTCCAACGAAGATGCCGACGTCCATGGACATCTTTTCGTTGCCCTTCGCCCTCTCGAACGACTCGTGCGTTACTTCGAGCAGCAACCGCTGCTGTGGGTCCATTGTGGCCGCCTCTGCCGGGGAGATGCTGAAGAGCGCGGTGTCAAAGTTCTCGACTCCCTTGATGAAGCCCGCGTGCTTCACGTACATCTTGCCTGTGGTGCCCGGGGAGGGGTCGTAATACTCGTCGGTGTCCCAGCGTTCGTAGGGGATGGGCACGACACCGTCGCCCTTCGCCACGAGCGCCGACCAGAACTCGCCTGGCGAGTTCGCGTCGCCCGGAAACCTGCAGCCCCTGGACAACACCGAAACGGGCACGCCCTCCGAGGTAAGGACCGTGGCGCCCGCAGTGCCCGCGAGCGCCGCCGCGGCTGGCGACACAGAGGCGGGGGCGAGCTTGCTCGCAGCGTACTGTGCGATCGCCGAGACGCTTGGGTAGTCGAACATGAGCGTGCTGGGCAGCTTGAGCCCTGGGAGCTTCTTCGAGCATTGGTTGCGGAAGTCCACGGACGTGAGCGAGTCGAGACCAGACTCCATGAGCGGCGCGTCAGCGTGGATCTCCTCGCCCAGGACCCCCGCTGCCACGTCCAGCACTAGTCTGGACACCGTATCGCCGATCTCGCCAGCGGACATGCCTTGGAAAACGGAGGCCGAACCTCCGCTACCAGATGCGTCGCCCTTGGCGGTGAAGTCGAGCAGCACTGGCACGCCAGTGCCCATCTGCTCCAGGAAACCAGTCCAATCAGCACGCGCAAAGAGCAGCGATGGCGGGACCTTCGAACCGGAGATTGCTCTCGCAAACGCCGCTTGCACGTGTTTCGGCGACACCATCTTCAGCGCGGCGTCCGAAGGGCCGTGCTGCTCTGCGTTGGCCGTCATGCCCACTTCCGACACGGGGCCGAACTGGATGCTCGTGGCAGGCATGTCTTGCGCGCGCCGCCACAGCGCCAGGCCGTCCAGGTACGCGTTGGAGGCCGAGTACGTGACGCCCCGCGAAAGGCCGATGAGCGCCGATACCGACGAGAAGAGCACGAATGAGTCGAGCGAAGCCCCGTCAACGTGGCGATGCAGGTTCCAGGCGCCAGAAACCTTGGGCTTGAACACCTTCTCCACGCCCTCGGACGTAAGAGCAGCTAGGTCGAGGAACTCGAGAACGCCCGCGGCGTGCACGACGCTCCTCAGCGGGAAGTCAGTTAGCTCGCTGCCCATTTTCTTCAACAGCTCAGTCATCTTGCTGGAGTCCGACACGTCGCAAGACCAGGCGCGCACTTCGGCGGTGGACGACTGCAGCGTCTCCAACATACTGGCAAGCTTCGCGTCGCCCGATGGTGTCCTGCCGCTGCGCGAGACCAGCGTGACGCAGCCGGCGCCCTTGTCGACTAAGTCCTGCGCGATGCTGAGACCGAGGCCGCCAAGGCCGCCGGTGACCAGGTATGCGCCGTCGGGCCTCGCGCTGAAGCTCGAAGTCGGGATGCTGCCCTGGCCAAGGCGGGGGACGCACCGCTCGCCCCCGATGTAGGCTATCTCTGCGTCCGCTTCGCTGTGGGGCACGAGAAGCTCGTCGGCGACCGTGCTCGCCAGATTGCCCTCGTCTGGCGGGAAGTCGATGCAGCGTGCCTGGATGTGCGGCGCCTCCAGTCTCACAGAGCGCATGAAGCCCCACGCAGCCGCTCCGAGCAGGCCAACCCCGACCTGGTCCGAGCTTTCGGCCTTGGCCTCCTGTGCGCCGCGGGTCAGCACCACCAGCTCTACAGCGTTCTTGGAGGCGGCCAGGGCCTGAACCACGGCCAGCAGCGCGGCCGTGGTCCTTCCCTCCAAGGCGGGCTCGTCAGCGACGGCGGTCTCCGCGAAGATCACAATTCCGAAGCTCTGCTGGGAGATGGCCGAGGCGTCGGACGCAGCCACCGCAGTCGCTGTCGGCAGCGCCTCCAGCAGCGGCTTCTGGAGGTCCCCGCCGCCGACTATGAGCACAGCCCCCGCCTCGGCGGGCTCCTTGCCGCCGTCCGGCAGCGGCGTGGCGCGCCAGGACAGCGTCCAGAAGAGCTCCTTGGCCCAATCCCGGTAGGCCATGTCCTTCCTCGCCCAAGAGAGGGCATGCCGCTCGAGGGCGGCACCCGTGATCTCAGGCGACTGCTTCGGCGCTTCCTCAGTGTTGACGTGCGAATTGGTGCCGCTGAAACCGAACGAGCTGACTCCGCCGCAGAGGGTTGCCGCCTTCCACGGCATCATGGAGTCGGGGATGGCCGTCGGGAAGCTGGACAGGTCGATGTTGGGGTTCATCTTCTTGAGATGCAGGTTCGGCGGCGCCTGCCGGTGCTCCATCATCAGCACCAGCTTGGTCAGCCCAGCAACGCCGGCAGCACCCTCGAGGTGGCCAGCGAACGACTTGCCCGCGGCCAGTATGAGGCTCTCGTCGTCGGACCGCTCCTTGCCGTAGATCTTCTCCTGAGCCCCGACCTCGATGGGGTCTCCCAGTGAGGTACCTGTCCCGTGGCACTCTACCAGCGTGACCTCCAGAGCCTTCAGGTCGGAATCCCGCAGCGAGGCGGTGAGAGCCCTCTGCTGCGCAGGTCCGCTGGGCGCCGTGATCGTCGCGCTGCGACCGTCCTGATTCACGCAGCTTCCCCGGGCGATCGCGGAGATCGCCTCGCCCTTGGACTCCGCGGCGCCTCGTAAGCGAAGGATGAAGGAGCCGACGCCCTCGCCGCGCGCGAAGCCGTCGGCGGAGACGTCGAAAGTCTTGCAGCGGCCGTCGGGGGCCAGGCCTGTCATCTTGCAGAAGCCGATCCACATGTCAGTGCGCAGCTGCAGGTTCACGCCCGCCACACATCCCATCTCCTGGCGGCCCATGCGGCTGGCCTGGCTGGCGCAGTCCATGGCCACCAACGTGGACGAGCAGGCCGTGTCGATGGCGAAGCAGGGGCCGCGCAGACCGAGGGCGTGGGAGATGCGGCCTGACAGGCCACTGATTCCTGCGCCGATGTTGGTGAAAGGGCCGATGTCGTCGTCGTGTACGTCGATGCCCGTGAGCGTGCAGCAGCCCATGAATACCCCGCACTCGACTCCGTTCAACGTTTCCTTAGACTGGCCCGCCAAGTGGAAACTCTCATAGGCCACCTCGGTCATCAAGCGCTGGTGGGCGTCCATCCCACGAGCCTCGGGCTCGCTGATGCCAAAGAATCCGGCGTCGAACTCCTGAACGGCGGGAATGAACATGCCCGTGCGCACGTATATCTTGCCTGCGGCCTGCCGGTCCTCGTCGTAGTACTGGTCGACGTCCCAGCGCTCGATCGGAATCTCTTGGTTGGGGTCCACGCTGGAGCAGAGAGCGCTCCAGTATTCCTGGATGTCGTTACTGACGGACATGCCTGGGTAACGGCCAGCGATGCCCACCACGCCCAGCGGCTCGCGAATGGCAGCGCCCGCGTCGCCCAAGGCGCCCGCACCGCCTTCGTCCTCGTCCGGGGCGAATTGGGAAAGGATGAAGTCCGTGAGGTCTGCGACGGTGGGGTAGTCGAACATGATGGTCGAGGCCAAGCGGACGCCCTCGAACGAGGCTTGGACGCGGTTCCGGAACTCCACTGCTGCCAGGGAGTCCAGGCCCAGGTCCATCAAGGGGGCCGAGAAGTCGCTTAAGGTGTCGTCCCCGAGGACTTCTTTCAGGATGCCCTCGATGCCCGACTTGACCAGCTCCTTGGGCGGGGCGGCGCCGCTGGGGCCTGTCAGGGCCTGTGCCTTCTCCTTCGGCTTGAACTGCTTGAAGTTGTCCAGGAACTGCGGCACCGCCGTCATCTGCGCCAGGAAGGACGCCCACTTGATGCGGGCGACTCCCACGACGCCGGTGAGCAGCGAGGCCTGAGCACTCAGTATCGCCTCCATCGCCTGAAGCCCCGCCTGGAGCTCGATCCGCAGGATGACGCTCTCGGAGGTGCCAGCGCGAGCGGCCATCCCGATTTCCGCCCACGGGCCCCACTGGACACTCACGGCTGGAAGCTCGTGTGCGCGCCGGTGCGTAGCGAACGCGTCCATGAACGCGTTGCCCGCGCAGTAGTTGGCCTGCCCCGCGGTGCCGATCATGGCGGCCACAGACGAGAAGAGCGCGACGAAGTCGAGCGGCATGCCTGCCGTCGCCCTGTGAAGATTCAGCGTGCCGTCGACCTTCGGCGAGATGACACCATCGAAGTGCTTGCGCTCGAGGTCGAGGATGAGGTGGTCGTCTAGGGTGCCTGCGGCGTGGATGATGCCGCGAACCAGTGGAAGCTCGTCACTTATCTGCTTCATCGTCTGCTCCACATCGCTGGCACTGGCGATGTCGCACTTTTTCACCTTCGCCATCCCCGAAACCTTGTCGAAGAGCTGCTGCGAGTCGGTCTGCACTGTGCCACTGCGCGACAAGAGCACGAAACTCTTGGCTCCTTTGTCCGCCATCCAGCCCGCGAAGAGCAGGCCCAGGGCGCCCGTACCGCCGCTGACAACGTACGACGCGTCCTCCTTGAATGCGGCCTCCTCTGCGGCCTTGATGTTTGCGGTGTCATCCACGAGCCTCGAGGCCACCAGCCTGCCGGAGTGCAATGCCAACTCGGGCTCGAAGGTCTTGGCGACGCGGCCGGCCACCTCGCCAACCACACCGGCGACCACCGTGCCAGACGTGCAGCTGGCATCAAGGTCCAAGCATGCCACCTTGAATTGTGGGTACTCGGCACGGAAGGACCTCGCCAGGCCCCATAGTGCCGCATGCGTCGGTATCGGGGCGTCCACCATGTCTTTCTGCTCCACGGCAACAGCGGACCGCGTCAGAAACCACAGCTCCGGAGCGTCGTCCTTGGCGTGGACCAACCCCTTCATCAGGCTCAACGCGACATCCAAGACGTCCAGGCACGGCGCATCCGAGAGCCCTGCCAGGCTGATCACCCTACTGCAATCGGTGAGCTGGTCCTGCGATACAGCCGAAGGCGCTACACAGGAGGCATGGTCTCCGAGAGCCGACGCCACCTGTGCGAAGAAGTCTCCAGCCTCAGCGACGACGAGGGTCTTCACCTCGTCCTCTTCCTCGGCCTGGTCTTTCCTGGCTGGCACGTCGGTCCAACCGACCTGGTACAGCTTCTGGGCGTCCTCGGGCATCTGGCTCTCCATCGCCTTGAGGATCTGCTCCCGTGTCACAGCGCGGAACGACACGTCGTCTCCAACGAATAAGATGTTCCCCTCATCGTCAGCGACCGTGGTCGTGAAGGTCTGGAGCGTCATGGAGAACTCCATGAGGTGCAAGTGCACCCAGTAGACGGACTCGCGAGAGAAGTCCCTGTGTTGCTTGCACTTCAATGAGCCGATGCCTGCGAAGATCTTCAGTGGGGCATCCCAGCCAACCATTGTGCAGCCGAGCACGTGGATCGTTCCATCGAGCATGCCCGGGTGCATCCAGTAGCCCATGTTGACTGGGAGGTGCCCCTCCTCCGTGGAGTGCTCGAGACGGCAGAGGACCTCGTCACCCTTTGCACCGTTGCTCCGCATCATGTGCTTGCAGACTTGGAACATGGGGCCGAGGTAGAGCCCGCCCTTGTGCACGGCAGCGTAGACGTCCGCAGAGGGCACCTCCGTGTCGCACATGCTCCTCAGGTCGTCCAAGGGGAGCATCGCTGGCTCCGAGGTTCCGCGACCAATCTTGCCTTCGCAGTGGGTCATCTGCTCCGGGCTGTCGCCGCGCCTGCTGCGGATCTCGAACTTATCGCTGCCCATCTGCGCGAAGCGGAGGTAGACGGGCGTCGTGCCATCCTTCCACGCGTCCTTGGGGATAACGAGCGGCCACGTCATCTGCACGTCCTTTATGTAGGCTTGGTTGCCCATGAGCACCCTGGTGGCCTCCATGGCTTGCTCAACGTAGGCCACGCCTGGCACCACGATCTCGTCAAAGGCGACGTGCTCTGCCACTGCCCAGAAGATGTCCGCCTTGAAGGGCACCTCGAAGTGCGTGTCCTTGCCCTCACTGATCTTTTTGCGCAGCATCCGGTAGACTGGGTCCCTCCAGGGGAACGGCGTGTGCTTGAACTCCACCTGGGCTGCGCCCGTGGTCGGTGCCGCGCTCGGCGGCGAGGAGCTCGCGAGCACCACGTGCGCGTTGGTGCCGCCGAAGCCAAACGAGGACAGGCCAGACGCCAATGCGGGCTCCAGCTCGTACATCTCCTGCACTACGAAGGCCGGGAAGCCATCGAGGTCGATGTGCGAGTTGAGCGTCTGAAAGTGCAGGTTGGGGGTCGTCTTCCCAGTTTGCATCATGTACGCGGCCTTCACAAGGCCAGCCATGCCGGCCGAGCCCTCCAGGTGGCCGATGTTCGACTTGGCGGAGGTGAGCGCCAGCATCTTGCTGCGGTCCTTGCCGAGCGTGTTGGCCAGCGCGTCCACCTCGATGGGATCCCCCAGGGATGTGCCCGTACCATGGCACTCAACGGTGGCCACGTCCTTCGGTTCAATGCCAGCCTCGGACAACGCACGGAGGATGACCGCCTGCTGCGACGGTCCGTTCGGAGCCGTGAGGCTGGCGCTGCGGCCGTCCTGGTTGGTGGCGGTGGCTGCAAGGTCACAGACCACTTGCGCCAGGGACTCCGGCGTGGGACCCACGAATGCGGCGCCAACGCCCTCGCCGCGGCAATAGCCATTCGCCGACTCGTCGAACGTCATGCACCGGCCGGTCTCGCTAAGCATCTTCGCCTTGCTGAAGCTGATGTAGGGCACCACCCCGAGAATAAGCTGCGTGCCCCCGATGAGGGCGGCCTCGCTCGTGCCCCTGTGGACCGAGCTGAGGGCGGCGTCGGCAGCCACCAGAGAAGAAGAGCAAGCCGTATCGCACACGAAGCTTGGGCCCTTCACGCCGAATAGGTAGGAGATGCGGTTGGCGCAGATCGACGCGCTGATGCCCGTGCCGGTGTAGGTGCTGAAGGAGCTGCCAGAGCTTGTCATGACGAACCAATCGTGCTGGGCCTGGCCTACGAAGACGCCGATGTCCGCGCCCATCATGCCGGCCTTCTCCCTGCCCGCGAAGGCAAAGGCTCTCTGAGCAACCTCCAGAATCATCCTCTGCTGTGGGTCGATCACCTTGGCCTCTGCAGGCGATAGCGTGAACGCCCCGGCATCGAAGAGCTCGGCTCCGTCGACGAAGCCTCCGTGCCTCGCGTATGTCTTGCCGGGGGTGTCGGGGTCAGAATCATAGTAGGCGTCTATGTCGAAGCGGGTGTAGGGGACTTCCACCACGCCGTCTCTGCGGCTGGCGAAATCGTCCCAGTAGGCGCCGTCCCGGCCGCCCGGGAATGAGGATGCGAGGCCTTGAACCTGGACCTGAACGCGGCTGCCGGCGCCCTGCAGAGGAGCCGCCGCCTTCGCGCCAGCGGCCGGCGCGAGTTGCGAGGAGGCGAAGCGGCCGATGGCGGAGACTGTCGGGTGGTCGAAGATGAGCGTGTTGGGCAGTTTGACTCCAGGCAGCTGCCCAGACAAGCGATTGCGGAACTCCACCGCCGCGAGGGAGTCCATGCCCGCCTCCATGAGCGGTACCTCAGCGTCGACGCTGGCAGTGCCCATGACCTCGGCCGCCGTCTGGAGCACCATCTCATTCAGCACTTCCGGTGTGATGGTCGGCGCAGCGGCTCCGCCACCAACAGATACAGGCCCGAGCTGGGTCGACGCGTATCCGCTGATGGCCGTGATGGTCGGGTAATCGAAGATGAGCGTGTTGGGCAGTTTGACCCCGGGCAGCTGTCCCGAGAGGCGGTTGCGGAACTCGACCGCCGCCAGCGAGTCCATGCCAGCTTCCATGAGCGGCACCTCGGTGTCAACGCTAGCGACGCCCATGACCTCCACGGCGGTGCTCAGCACGAGCTGGCCCATCATCTGGGGGGTGATGCCTGGGCTGGCACTGGCGCCCGCTGTAGCTGCAGCGACCCCAGGTGCGCCGGCCCCGGCCTCCTTCTTGAAGCGCGCCAGGAAAGGCGGCACAGCCTGCCCAAACTGCTTCAGGTACTGGCCCCAGTAGACCGGGCATGCGGCGATGACGCTGCAGTCCGAGGCCAGCGCGCAGCAGAGCGCCGCCATGCCCACAGCGTTGCCGATGCTGCCGAGACCCTGCGACTTCAGCCTCTCCACGGTGCCCTTCTGCGCGGCCATGCCTGCCTCGCGCCACGGGCCCCACTGTACGCTCCACGCCTTCTCGCCTCTCTGCTGCCACACCCAAGACTGCGCGTCCAGGGCGGCGTTGGCCGCGGTGTAGTTTGCCTGCCCCGGTGATCCCAGGAGCGCCGAGGTGGACGAGAACAACACCATGAAATCCAACGGGTCCTTCTTGCTGGAGAGCGCGCAATGGAGGTGGCGAGAACCGAAGACCTTCGCGCCAAAGGCCCGTTCGAGGTGTCCCCTGGTAAGCTTCGGCAGCGTAGCGTCGTCCAGCACGGCCGCGAGGTGCACCAGGCCCCGCACGCGCGCCGCGGGAGTCTGCTTCGCGAGCTCCGAGGCCAATCCAGCCGAAAATACCTGGACGTCGTCCATGTTGCCGATGTCGCAGGCCTTCAGCTTAATGTCGATGGCGAAACTCTGGAGGTGCTGCCACTGCACCTGCGAGTCGGAGCCCACTGCGCCCTTGCGCGACATGAGCACGAGAGACTTGGCACCCTCTTCGGCCATCATCTGGGCGGTGACCAATCCCAATGCGCCGACACCTCCGCTGAGCACGTAGCAACCGTCTGGTTCGCACCCCATTCGTGAGGGCGTGGTCAACACGACTTTGCCGATCTGCTGCGCGCGCTGCAGAAAGCGGAGCGCGTCCACGCCAGAGGTGAGGCCCTCAAAGATGGTGGTGGGCAGTGGCTTCCACCAACCCTGCTCCATCTGTGTCACCAGACGCCGCATGAGTACATTGTACCGCGCTGGATCATGTTCCATCACCCAATCCATCGCGATCTTCTCGTATTGCACGTCTGGGCGCTTCTCCTTCATCTCGTCATGGCTCCAGATACCCCGCTTGCCGATCTCCATGAAGCGTCCGCGCTTCTTGAGCATAGACAGCGAGCGGCCGATGTACTCCTTGTGGCTCAAGCTGTTCAGCACGCAATCGATGCCATCCTGGCACTTGTCCTCCTTCATCATCCGCTTCATGTCTTCCTCGAAGGCCTCGTCATCGCGGCTGGTGGTGATGTACTTCACTCCCATCTCCTTGAGATGATCGACTTTGTTTGGGCTGCCAGCGGTGGCGTAGATGGTGGCCCCCACGCGCTGCGCAAACTGGACGGCGACGAGGCCGACGCCGCCTGTGGCAGCGTGGATCAACACTCGCTGCCCTTTGGTCACCGCAGCGAGCTCCTGGAAGGCCTCCTCCGTAGTAGCGAAGGTGACCGACCATGAGGCCATCTGCTCGAAGCTCCAGCCCTCCCTCGGCATCTCCACCACGAGGTGGTGGTGCGTGTTGCAATACGTCTGGAGGCTGCCGAACGCGATGCCGAAGACATCGTTGCCGGGCTTCAAGTCCGAGACGTCCGATCCGACCTTGGTCACCGTGCCAGAGCAATCGCCGCCAGGGTTTCCAGGGTCGCCTGGGTACATGCCCATGACGTTCAGCACGTCGCGGAAATTCAGGCCGACCGCTCGGACGCGGAGCTCCACCTCCTCGTTGGTCGGCGCAGGCCTGTGCGTCTGCGGCACAGGCCGCAGGTTGGCGAGGCTGCCGCGGGCAGACATCTGCAGGCGCATGGCCTTCCGGACCTGCACCTTGCTGCGGTCCAGGCGTGACACCAACGCCTTTAGCGCACCGTCCTCACTCGGTCGCAGTGCGACTTCTGTCTCGGCGTCGAGGGCAGCGCTGCCAGTGAGGGCGCCCAGCCAATTCGCCAGCACCTGTGCTGCCTGAGCGTCGTTGATCGTGGACGCGTCCAAGTCCAAGCAGCGCAAGCGAAGAGACCGCTCCTCCATCCGCGCCGTCCGCGCCATGCCCCACATGCCAGCGTGCGTGAAGCTGCCGTCGGCACCGCATGCCTGCGTGGCGCGAGTGATCCACCACACCGAGGGCGCAAGATCCGAGTCCTTGGCCGCCTCCGCCATCGCCGCCTGGCACAGGGCCATTGTGCAAGTGAGCGTCTCCAGCTCTGCAGGCTGCGAAAGGGCCCCCACATGAACGTACGTTACCTTCTTAGCACTTGCGGCGCTGAGAGACAGGGACTCCTCAATGAACTCGGCACCCTTGAAGAGCTTCGCGAGCTCCGAGGCCAGAGGGGCCGTGGCGCCAATGAAAACCACCTTGCCGGCCAGCGGACCTGGCTTGCCGCCCTTTGCCTCCAGGGGCACCCACTCCTGCTGCAAGATGTCTTCCTCGACCTCTTCGGTTGCCTGCTGCAACATCTTCTGGATGTGCTCCGGCCTCACCTCGCGGAATCGCATTTGTTCGTAAGAGAGCATCACCTTTCCATCCTCCTTGCTCAGCTGGGCGTTCACGGCGATCTCGCGGTCTGTCATCTCGATCAGGCGATGGTTCACCCAGATGTGAGTCTGGTAGCCTTGGGAATAGTTTGTAAACACCTGGCAGAGCAGCGGAATACGCAGGCTGGTCAGGTCGTCCACCTCCGTTGAGCGCCTCGCGAGCATCAAAGCCATGCTGCCCTGGAAAGTCCCATCGATGACGGCTGGGTTGAAGAGGAAACCAGCATTCGTGGCGTCGTTCTCGGCCTCGACCTTGGCAAGCACCTCGTTGTCGCCGCGGAGGATCTTGCGTACGGTCCTGAAGCGCGGCTGCAGCGGAAGGCCAATCTTCGAGAAGGGCAGGTATAGCCTCTCGATGGCCACGTCCTCGTCGCACCGCGCCTTCGCGCCCTCCACGTCCAGTACAGGCTGCGTGCTTGCCTCCCTTCCGATGTCCAACTCGCCCTCCGCGTGGACGGCAAGGACCTTGCCGAGCGCAGGGTCGAAGCTGCTCATAAGCCAGTGCCCCCCGGGCAGCAGCTCCAGGTAGAGGTCAACTGGGCGGGCCAACTGCCCGTCTGGTCCTGTCTTCAGCACCAGTGGCGACTGGAAACCGATGTTGCGGATATGCCACTGGAAGCCGCGGCCACCAAGGTGGAACTCACCTGACGCCAACACCATCTCGAGATACGTGGCCCCCGGCACCACGATCTCCCCGAAGATGATGTGATGCGAGACTAGCTGGAAGAGCCGGCCAGAGAAGGGAGCTGCGAACACCTGCTTCCCGTCGGGCATCTTCTGCTGTCTCGACAGCAATGGGTGCTTCACCTGCTGCCACGCGAACGACTGCGGATTGTATGCTACCTCCTCCTGGGCCGTTGGTGCTGCACCAGCAGACTCCTGGGACACCACGTGGGCGTTGGTACCGCCGAAGCCGAAAGAGGACAAACCGCAAGAGAGGGTCTCGCCGGCAATGCGCTCTGTACTGCTTGCTGGGATCGTGGTGGGAAAGTCGTCGAGGTCGATGTGCTCGTTCAGCTCCTTGAAGTGCAGGTTCGGCGGCGCCAGGCGCCGTGGAAGCATCAGAGCCACCTTCAGGAGTCCAGCGATGCCCGCGGCGCCCTCCAAGTGGCCAAGATTCGTTTTCACCGCGCACAGGGTGAGCGGGCTTGATGCCTGCCGTCCCACGCCTAGGGAGCCCCTCAGAGCGCCGACCTCGATGGGATCGCCCAGTGCGGTGCCTGTGCCGTGGCACTCAGAGGCATTGATCGAGGCTGCGTCCAGCCCCGCCTCGTTGACCGCGGTCATGATCACGTCCTGCTGCGAGGGGCCGTGCGGCGCCGTCTGGCTCGTGCTGCGGCCGTCCTGGTTCACACCGACGCCGTGGATCACGGCAAGCGAGGCGTCACCCCTCTCGTCCATGTCGGCCAGGCGTGCCAGCGTCGCCATGCCACAACCCTCGCCCCGCACGTAGCCGTTGGCGCGGTTGTCGAAGGTCATGCACCGGCCGTCCTCGGAGAGCATGTGGGCCTTGCTACACGCGATGAATGGCCCGGGAGTCAGGTTAAGGTTCACGCCGGCGGCAGCGCCCATCGAGCACCTGCTCCGGCGCAGGTTAGAAACCAACACGTCTGCCGCCATCAAGGACGACGAGCACGCCGTGTCGATGGTGGCACTCGGGCCCTTCAGGCCAAGGATGTAGGACACGCGGTTCGAGGAGATGGACGTCGACACGGCCAAGCCTGTGTACACGCTGATTTTCTCCGACTCGTCCATCGAAAAACCCATGTGGCCCCAATCGTTGTTGCACTGCCCCACGCAGATGGCCCCACGTGTGCCCGACAGCTTGTCCTTTCGGAAGCCCGCGCTGTGGAACCCCGCGTAGATCACCTCCAGAAGCAGCCGCTGCTGCGGGTCCATCACCTTCGACTCGGCACTCGAGAGGCCAAAGAAGGTGGCGTCGAACTTGTCGGCGTCCTTCACGAAGCCGCCGTGCCTGAAATGCTCCCTGTCCTCCTCCTCCCTGTCCTCCTCCGCCTCCTCCTCCTCCTCCTCCTCCTCCTCCTCCTCCCCTCCCGCCTCTTCCTCCTCCTCTTCCTCCTCCTCCTTCTCCTGCTTCTTCTCCTCCTCCTCCTCCTTCTCCTCCTCCTCCTCCTCCTCCTCTTCCTCCTCCCCCTCCCCCTCGGGGTGCCAGGATAACGCTTCAGGGTGCTGAGTGCGTTATTGTTTCACCGGAAGGGGGGATCTGAATTGCTTCTCGCGGTTACACCGCCCTGTGCCAGGCGATACCACCCCCAAGCGAACCCCCCAAGGATCTCTCCACGACCCTTCGGCCCTTCGTAGGCCCCCGGCACGGGCCTGACGTACATCTTGCCGGGCTCCTCCTGGTCGGCGCTGTAGTAAGCGTCCACGTCCCAGCGGTCGAAGGGGATCTCGGTCACGCCGTCATGTTGCGAGTCGAGTGCGGCCCACAGTTCACCAAGGCTGGTGCCGTCCACGGGGAAGCGGTAGGCGCCAGACCAGATGCCCACAGGCTCCGTGCTCTCGGCGACCGCGGCGCCGCCGGGGGCCGTGAGTGACGCCCTTGGCGCGCCAGCGGCCAGCGGTGCGCTGGCGGCGTCGGCCGGCGCCAGCATCGAGGCCGCGAAGCTGGCGATTTCGCGAGTGTTGGGGTAGTCGAACATCAGCGTGCTGGGCATCTTGAGGCCTGGCAGCTTCTTCGCCACCTGGTTGCGGAAGTCCACCGAGGACAGCGAGTCCAGGCCAGCCTCCATCAGCGGAGCGTCCAGAGACAGCTCCTCCAGCTCCAGACCGAGCACGCCCGAGGCGATCTGTGCGACCATCGTGCTGACCTGGCTCTGCACCTGGTCCGCAGAGAGGCCCTTGAACGCGTCGGGCACGCCCCCTCCAGGGCCCCCAGCCACCTTCTCCTCCCCGTCGTAATCCTGGAGCACAGGGACCTGGATGCCCAGCTCCTTCTGGAATTGGCCCCAATCCACACGCGCGAAGGCAAGCGAAGCAGGCATGCTCCCAGCGAAGAGCGACTGGCTGAAGGCTTTCTGGACCTGCGACGGCTTGATCAGCTTCAGGGCCGAGTCGGCGATGCCGTGAGAGTCCCGAGAGGACATGCCCACTTCTGCCACAGGCCCCCATTGCAGCGCCGTGGCAGGGAGGCCCTGCGCACGACGCCAGAGGGCCAGGCCGTCCAGGTACGCGTTGGAGGAAGAGTAGCTGGTCCCGCGGGAGAGGCCGACGAAAGCTGACACAGAGGAGAAGAGCACGAAATTATTCAGCTTCGTTCCCTCCGTCGCCTCGTGCAAGTTCCAGGCCCCGGACACCTTCGCCTTGAAAACGGGTGCCCACCTCTCTGGGCTCTGCGATTGGATGTCGATGAAGTCGAGGACCCCTGCGGAGTGCACGACTCCGCCCAGAGGGTTGCTGGGCATCTCCTGGCCGATCCGCTTGGTCAGGCTGCTCACCTGCTTGGCGTCTGACACGTCGCAGGCCCACGCGTGCACGGTGGCACTGGACTTCTTCAAATTCTCCAGCAGGGCCGCGACGGCCTCCTCGCCGTCCGGCACCCTGCCCTTCCTGGACACGAGCACGAGGCTCTGCGACCCAAGGTCTGCCAGCGACTGCGCGCAGAGGAGGCCAAGGCCGCCGAGGCCTCCCGTGACCAGCTGCGTGGCCTCTGGCCGGGCGATGTCGGCGCTTCCCTGGGGCACTGGGCACGTGGCGAGCCGGGGCACCTTGCGTACGCCGTCGATGTAAGCCACCTCTGCTTCCATGCCCGCCGTGGAAACGCTGAGCTCATTCGCGATCGTCTGAGCGGCAGCGTCCGTGTCGGAGACGTCGCAGAGGTCGATGCTCTGCACTTTCAGGCCTGGGGCCTCGAAAGGCAACGTGCGCACGAAGCCCCAGATAGCTGAGCCGACGACTCCGCGGCCGATGCTGCCGCCTGCAACCGACTGTGCGCCAATAGTGACAGCAGCCAGGCGCGTCGACCGGCCTGTGCCCATGGAAGCCTTGCAAAGCTCCAAGAGGTCGGCCAGCGTGCTGCCCTCCAGGGTCGGGTCGTCGGCCGAGAGTGCCTCGGCGAAGACGAGCGTCGCCCACTCTTGCTCCTTCAGCTTCGCAGACAAACCTGCGCCACTCTCCACCAGGTCGCAGTCGAGCGTCTTCTGGAGCGCGCGCGCCACGTCCCCGTTGCCGACGACCAAGCATGGCAGCATCCCCTTCGCGTCCTGCGCGGTCAGTTCCTGAGGTCGCCACTCCAGGGCATACCAGAATTTCCTCGCCATGGCCTCCATCCCGAGGAGGCGGTGGGGCGTCTTGTTCCAGGGTAGCGGATCGGCGCGGACCAGCGACAGCACCTCGCCGTCCTTGAGCTTCGGGCCTTCCAAGATGGAGTGTGAGTTGGTGCCGCTGAAGCCGTAAGACGAGGTGCCCGCCTTCACGTTGTTGGGTCTCCAGTCGATGAGGCTGTCAGGCATGATCACGGCGAAGCCGTCCAGATCGATGTTCGGGTTGAGTTGCTTCAAATGCAAGTTCTTTGGTATCTGCTTGTGCTGCATTGAGGCCACCATCTTCACGATGCCAGCGATACCGGCGGCACCCTCTTCGTGGCCGATGATGGACTTGGCAGCTGCCAAGATCACAGGGTCCCCGGCAGACCGGCCCTTGCCGACGGTCGACTTCAACCCGCCGATCTCGATCGGGTCCCCGAGCGCAGTGCCCGTGCCGTGTACTTCGACCATGCTGATCTCCTCACCGTCCACAGAAGCATCAGCGAGAGCGGAATTGATGCAGCGCTGCTGCGCTGGGCCACTGGGCGCGGTGATCGTTGCGCTGCGCCCGTCCTGGTTTACGCATGTGCCGATCACCTGGCACACGGCCACCTTGCCGCGTCTCTCCGTGGTGGACACGAGCTCCGTGATGCAAGATCCCGCACCCTCGCTGCGGGTGAAGCCATTGGCGGACGCGTCGAAGGTCTTGCAGCGCCCGTCGACGGACAGCGCGCTCATCTTGCAGAAGCCAACCCAAGTATTGGGGCATAGCTGCAAGTTGCTCCCCGCGACCACGGACTTGTCAGTCTTGCCCAGACGGGAGGCCTGCGCTGCGCAGTCCAAGGCCACAAGCGTGGCGGAACACGCGGTGTCGATAGTGAAGCAAGGCCCGCGAAGACCAAGGGCGTGCGACACGCGCCCAGAATTCCCGGAGGGGAAGGAGCCGATGTTTGTGTACGGCCCGATGTCGTCGTCGAGGACGCTGATGCCGCCGAGAGTGGCGCAACCGATGAAGGATCCTGTGTTGCTGTTCGAAACATCGTCCTTCGAGAAGCCTGAGTGCCACAGGGATTCGTACACGACCTCAAGGAGGATGCGCTGGTGTGGGTCCATCGACTGGGCCTCCAGGTCAAGGATCCCGAACATCTTGGCGTCGAAGTCCCCGAGCCCTGTAATGAAGCCGCCGTTGCGCGCGTACATCTTGCCCGCGGCAGAGGGGTCTTCGTCGTAATACTCGTCGACGTCCCAGCGCTCGATTGGCACCTCGGAGATCATGTCTTTGCCTTGGATGAGCATGCTCCAGTACTCGTCAGCCGTGTTGGACTTGCAGCCTGGGAAGCGCGACGCCACGCCGAGCATCGCCAGCGCCTCCTGTGCGTTTAGCTCGCGAGCTGCACCACCCTCGCCGCCTTCCTCACCGCCTCCGCCGAACTGCGACACAATGAAATCGCTGAGGTCGGCCACGGTAGGGTAGTCGAACATGACCGTCGCCGTGAGCGTCAACCCGTCGAAGGACGCCTGCACGCGGTTCCGGAATTCCACGGCCGACAGCGAGTCCAAGCCCATGTCCATCAACGGCACGGAGAAGTCGGCCAGGTCAGGGTCCCCGAGCACGTCGCACAACACATCTTGGATCGTCGATGACACTAGGTCGCGCGAGATGCTCGCGCCCGCGGCGACTGCGGCCTTCTTGAAGCTCTTGAAATTCTGCAGGTACGCAGGCACCGTGGCCATGCCAGCCAGCAAGTTTGACCAGTTGACCCGGGCCACGCCCACCACGCTCGCGCTCGTACCCAGGATGGCGCCCATGGCCGCGAGGCCGCCTGCGAGCGGGATCCGCTGATAGCTGGTCTCTGACGTGCCCGCTCGCGCGGCCATGCCCACCTCGGCCCAAGGGCCCCACTGGACGCTCACTGCGGAGTGACCCTGCGCGCGCCGGTGGAGCGCGTATGAGTCCATAAAGGCGTTGCCAGAGCAGTAGTTGGCCTGGCCCGGAGAGCCAAGCATGGCGGCGATGGAGGAAAACAGAGCGAAGAAATCCAGCCCCGCCGCGCTCTCCAGCGCAGCGCTCAAGTTCAGAGTGCCGTCAACCTTAGGCTTCAACACCTTCTCGAAATGCTGCCTCTCCAAGTCCACGATGAGGTGATCGTCCAGAACGCCCGCCGCGTGGATGACGCCTTTGACGCCTTTGAGGCTCTTGAACAGCGCCTTCACGTCCGCCGCGTCCTGCACGTCGCACTTCTGGACAGAGACGGTGACGCCGCCCAGCGCCTGCAGCTGGTCCATCATGGCCGAGGACTCTGGAGGGGCCTTCCCGCTGCGCGAGAGCAGCGCCAAGTGGCCCGCGCCATGGTCGGCCATCCAGCGACCGAACAACAGCCCGAGGCCGCCCGTGCCGCCGCTGACGGCGTATGAGCCCTCCTTGTCGAAGGAGAGCTGCTCCTGGACGGGGAACTGCGCGGTGACCTCAGCCAGGCGTGCGACGTACTGTGTGGGCGTCGAACTCGCACCCTGTAACACGATCTCTGGCTCTAGTAGGTCGTCCTGCCGCACCCGCACGGCGCGCAGCCGTGCCACGAGGTCGGCGGCACCACCGCCGCAGCCGCCCAACTCGATGCATCCTGCCAAGGCGTCGGGGTGCTCGAGCCGCAGGCAGCGCGACATTCCCCAAACTCCTGCATGCATGGGCACAGGTGCGCCGCTGAGATCGGCGACGTCAGCCGCCTGCGTGCCCTGCAGCACGAAGAAAACTTCTGGTGGCGCCTTTTCCTCGGTCTTCTCCATGCCAACCACGCGCTGCAAGACTTTGACCGAGCCTTCTAGGACGTCCACGTGGGACGCCTTTTCGGCGGCCACGCTGATGATTTTGGTGAAGCCATATAAGTCGTCGGGGAGGCTGAGCGCAGAGCCGTAGGTGTGCCTGCTGCCCAAGGCCTTGCTCATCTCCTCGAGCAGCTCCTTGTCCTCAGCCAGGACCAGCCAAGTACCGCTGTCTGCGGCCAGCTCGTCGGATGCGTCCTTGACAGGCATCCACTGCGCGTCGAAAAAACTCACGTCCTCCTTCTTCTTGGTCGCCTCCAGAGCCTTCTGGATCTGTTCGGGTAGAACCTTTCGGAATATTACATTCTCCATCACCCAAAGCACAACGCCAGCCTCGTTGTGCACAGTGCACGTGAAGATCTGCTGCTGCTCCGTAAGTTCGTCGATGCGGAGGTGCAAGATGACGCTCTCGTTCTTGGGCGCCTCGCGGCAGAACACCTGAACCTTGCCCACGCCAGCGAAGATTTTCAGGAAAGGTGGGTCCTGACAGGGAAAATCACAAATTCTGAACAAGCCTCCCTTCTCGTGTGCACCAAAGAAATCGCACCCGAACGCATGATGCAATACGCATTTAGCCGCAAGCCTGGAATACGGAACCCGACGTGCAACTTCAACATTATCAGCCGCGAGATCGCAAACAAGTAACATTGCATTGTGTCGCTGACCCAACCGGGCAAAACATATAGTCAAAACTTGCCATACGCTGCCACTCGTGTCTCGTGGCGCGGTGCATATGTATCTAATAGTTGCGCGTGCGTGCGATGTATGCTTCGCTTGACCTCCTGCCAGCGTGTACAAGAAAATGACTTGTTGGTGGGCGACGGCGGACGGTGGTGTAGGCAAATTGTGCAAAGACGATGTTAATGGACGGCTGGTGGCTGGTGGCTGGTGGTTTGGCGATGGTGGTCGATGGTGTGCAGGGGGCCGTCGGTGGGTAGGCATGTGGGATGCGCTGCGACCACGGGGCATGGAAACAGGACAATTGACGTGAGCGCGCGGTGGCGTGGGGAACCTGACCTCAATCCTGCCGTCTCCCTTGGGGGGGGGGGGACGCCAGGCTGCGCGTCTGAGGTCCGACAGTTAGGCAACCAAGTGCACGGCGACCTTCTGATCTATTCGATATTATGGCAACCGCGTCTTCTGCCGCGCCCACTCATTCACAAGACATTAGACCACAGAGTTACAGAGCTTACGATTCTGAATCCCACCAGCTCTGGGACTCGGGGCTTAGAGGTTTCGTTCTTTCACCCCCCTTCGTCCCCTTTCGGCGAAATTATGTCATTGCTCCTTATGAGTATGCACACCTTCCCCACTCTACCGGCCTCTAGCTAGGGTCAGGACGGCCTCCCTCGACACCCCACTCAATTATGCAGTCGGAGCTCCCCACATAAGGATGTCAAGGGCGTCGCGAGCTCAACGAGGCATCACAGTCGAAGTATGAACGGGAGGCTCGTGGCATTGATATGCACGCGTGGAAGGGCAAACGAAGTCAAGCAGGGGAAACAATCCACAATATTCGACACGGATTCCCTGGAGGTAGGACCTGCGCTACCGGCAGGGCTGGTGAAAGGGGGGGAGGGCACCCTCCCGGAAAACTAACACGCGTGTCACACACATCCCTCCGTGGAAGTAGAAATCCGTGCTGCGGACGGGGCTGGTGGAGGCTGGGGGGCACGACGAATAACACGTGTTTCGCACAGCTCGCGCAGTCCGACACGGCCTCCCTGCAAGTATAACCTACGCTACTGGTGAGGCTGGTGGAGGGGGGAGGGCACGATCCCAGATGAATAGTACGCGTTTCGCATAGCTCGCGCAGGGGTCGGATCTGCGCTACTGGTGAGGCTGGTGGAAGAAAGACAGCACGACTCCAAATAAATAGTACATGTTTCGCAGAACCCGCGCAGTCCTACACGGCCTCTGAAGATATAATCTGTGCTACCGGTGAAACTGGATGCTTGTGGAGACTAGAGGGATGAGGGAAGCACAAAAGCCTCGTACCTGGCATTGAACGTGGATGGTGAATCAGCCACCGCGCTTGCAGCGGTTGGTGTGCGTTGGGCCCATTTTCGCCTTTGTGAAGCCATAACCTGGGCCCCCCGACGAATTAAGCGATGCATTCGTTTTTTGTGGCCAAGCCCCTGAGCTTTGGCCTTCCAAGCAATGCAAATACCCCAGGGCAGGAGTGGTCCGTGGACCCTCTCCCCTCCCCCCACCCCGAAAGCGCCCCCCCCCCCACCCACCCCCGCGCCGAAGCGCGGTGGGGGAATCGCGCGGCAGCGCAACTTGGTACTATGGTGGCATGGTGGAGTTTGCAAGAGAGGGGGATGCGGAACTTGCGTGAGTGTGTGGAGCTTGCGCGAGGAGGTCCGAGGGACTGGTCAAATGGTTAACTTTGCAAGAGACGGGGATGTGGAGCTTGCGTGAGGGGATGTGGAGCTTGCGCGAGGGGCGAGGGGGAAGGCGCGGCAGCTGCCCGCGGCCAACCGCCTGATCCCACGCGCCGCCGGGGCGCGTTGCTGCCGCTTTCGCCCCCCCTTCCCTCCCTCCCGCGCCCTCTCCCCGCTCCGGGTCTTTCTGGCGCCGTGTCATCCGTTCTCGCCGCAGTGCCCTTTTCCGGACGGTGGAAAGAGTGGAGCTTGCAAGGAGAAGGAGGAGGAGGAGGAGGAGGAGGAGGAGAAGGAGGAGGAGGAGGAGGAGGAGGAGGAGGAGGAGGAGGAGAACCAGGAGGGGAGCCCAGCGTACCTGGCGGGGTTCGTCAGCAACTACGTGAGCGGGGCGCCCACTCTATAAGGTTGGGGGGCGGGGGGAGGCGACGGGCCTCCATCCGATCTGTGCGAAATGAAAAGAGATGAGGCGGCAGCGTCGTGACATAAGAGCGGCGACGAGGCAGGCGCGGTGGGGGAGAGGGGGGGAGAGACGGCAGAGGGCAGCAGCAGGGGGGACTCAAGGGACGGAGTAGAGGGGGAAACGACATGAGCGGCATCAGCGACGGCCGCTGCAGGCGAGGGCACGGGCGCCTTGAAGTTCGGCGCGTTGGTGCGGGAAGCCGCTGTTTCAATTGTGTGGACGGGCAGCGGCGGAGGGAAAGCGGGGGGGGGTCCCAGGCGGGACAGAGGGCGAGATGGGGACGGTCGCAAAGATATTGCGGCGAGGCAATGCGGTGGGAGGAGAAGCGAGCGAGGGGCGCGCACCAGCATCAGCAAAGCTCAGAGGGGCGAACGAGGTGGGGGAGGAAAGAGCAAGCCCAGCGGCTGGGACGCACAAAATGCGGGTGGATGAGGCAGGCCTGAGAGGGGGAGGCGACAGGAGGGCCTGCTGGTCGAAGGGCTGGGGAGAGAATGCGGGACACAGCACGGAGGCATCAGGTCGCGCCACTGATGTCGGCAGGGCTATCGTCGCAGAAAACGTCATCGGCGAAGATGGCGCAATTTATGTCCACCCACTGGAGGGCGCAACCGCATCAGGATTTCGATCGGCAAGTGGCGACGGCGAGCCCGAACACGACATCGGGACTTGCGATCTAACGCCGTCGGACACCAGTCCAGAATCACGGCGAAGCACGGGTGGCGACGGCGAGCCCGAACGCGACAACGGGACCTGCGCTCTAACGCCATCAGCTCGGAGATCATCTCCGATGGATCCCATGCGTGGCGACGTGATGCCCGAACGCGACAACGGGGCTTGCGCTCTAACACCAGACCCCGCGAGGGGGAGGGCGAGGCATCCGACAACAGGCGACGGTGAGCCCGAACACGACAACGGGACTTGCGATCTAACGCCAAGCAGTGGCGACGAGGGCGGAGAAGAGCCTGTCGTCAACGAAACTGGCGAGGTCGGCGTCACCGAAGCACCGCGCGAAATAAGGGCCGACGACGTCACTGGCGAGGGCGGCGTCACAGAAGCTCCGCTCGAAATAGGAGACGACAGCGCAATCGAAGACCCAGAAGCCGCCCCCAGCGGCGCGCGCGCGGACGCAGGCGAAGACGGCGACGCCCTAGCCCAGCACGAAATTGGAGCCGACAACGTCATAGGCGAGGACGGCGCCACACAAGCGCAGCTCGAAATGGACGGCGGCAACGCCACCGACGCAGAAGCCGCCCACTGCGAAGCGCACGCGGACACGGGCGAGGACGGCGTCGCCCAAGCACAGCGCGAAACTGGAGCCGACAACGTCATAGGCGAGGACGGCGTCACACAAGCACAGCCCGACATGGTCGGCGGCGACGTCATCGACGCACCGGATGCCGCCCTTCTGGTTGCCCGCGCGGGCGCTGGTGGTGAAGAGGCTGTCAACGGCGAAGCCGGCGAGCGTGTCTGGAGCGAGGTCGAGGCCGTAGGCGTGCATGGAGTAGCCGATACCGGCGGGCACGATGGGGGGGGGCACACCTGGAGGGCAACGGCCGCGGCGAGATGAAGCGAATGGCACCCTGGAAGACGGACGGGGCAGGAGGGCCCGCGACGGGGCGACGACCGCGGGAGGGCACGATGGAACCAGACGCTCGATCAGAAGGTCCTCGGCTCTGGGCAAATGGATCGGCGAGCCAGAAGCGGTCGATGGCGCGCAGGGGGGTGCCGACGAGGAGGATGCCCGCGCCGTGCTCGCCGTGCCACTGTCAGAATCGGGGGCGGAAGATGCCGCCGAAGAAGTTGAGGCGGTCCCGCGCGGTGATGGGGGCGGGGGCGAGCTAGAGGAAGACGCCGCACGAGTGGGCCTCGGAGAGGAGGGCGGAGAGCTGCTGGAGTCGGAAGAGCTCGACTGCGGCGAGCGGATGAGGTAGTCCCTGCGGGCGAGCTGCCTTCTTTCTGTCGCCGACATAGCTTGAGGCGTGGCCAGCGTCATCGCTCTCACACCAGCAACTGCGCAGCTCCGAATGGACGCAGGGGAAAGCGGCCATGCGTCACTCAGGCGGGCCTCACTGTAGATATTGTTGGCGGCCGCGGGCACGGAGTAGGATTGGCAGGATGGTCGGCACAGACCCCATCAGGACGGGAAGTCGAGGGCGAAGGGGCGGGCCAAGGCACGCCGAAGAGCCGACCAGAGGACAGGGCATTGGGCGTAGTGCTTGAGCGCGTCGCTCTTGCCCAGGCAGCCAAAAGCGCAGGGGCGCTTCCCATGCGGCGAGATGATGCGTGCAGATGTCATCCAACCGTCGGTCCACGAGCGGATCACCGCCCACGCCCAAGAACACGGACACCTTCGAAGGGCGGCTTGGCACGCGCCCCAATCCACGTAGCACAGGGAGCTGGCGTGCTGGCCAGCGATCTTGGCAAGGCGCAGGGTGAATAAGGAACGGAGAGGACGTGCCACCAGCGACGCCTCGCGCAATGCGGCATGTGCGGCACGCCGTGGACGGGGGCGAGAACGGCCACCGTGGTCCAGCGCAGCAAGGGCCGCCGTAAGTGGGGTGGATCCGACAGCGGCGAGCGGACCAGGAGGTGGGCGGCCAGCAGCAGCAGCCTCCAAATTCTCGACGAACGCGGGC